CTACCCTTCAAAAGCTGAGACTGTGGCGTCCGGTGATGGGACTCCTGCAGAAGCACGGGGTGAAGTACGCCTGGGGCTTTCCATTCCGGTTGCTGGCGTTCAAAGATGGATGCACTAAAATCCTTTACATGGATGGCGACCCTGTGGAGTTCCTGAGGAGTCTGGGTATCCAGGATCCGGTTGCGATGGCAGCATTTCCCCCGGCAGTGGCGGAGCTTCGCCCCCTCCCTTGCGAGTTGTTTGCGGCGGGAGAATGAGGCCCATAGAGGATGGCTGGCCCGGAACCCATCCGAGGCTAGTGAGGAGGCGATCCCGGTCGGTGTGGCTCCAGTGGCGGGTATGTAGGCTGATGTTGGGTTGGCTGGCCTTGGAGCCTGGTCCCACCGGGGGGCACCCCACAGGGTTCGCAGATCAGGAGCAGCCGCTGGAGCTGCACGGGAAGCTCTTGTGTCCTAGCTGGAGTCCGGGGGGGTCTTCACCCCATGTTGGGCGGGTTAGGGCTGTCTTGTTCTATTTTTTTGGGGTCAGCAAGGTTAGTGCGGATCCAGGTGGACGCTACATTTTGATGTCAGGGGCCTTGCATTTTCATGCTATTCATATCCTCAATTTATACGCTGCTAATGACCAATCCAGAGAATACTGGACGTAGCTGACTCACACAGTAAACATGCAACCACATGGAATGGTCATAGTGGGGGGGAGATTTTAATGCAGCTCCGTCCCCGGCAATGAATAGGGGCCCATGTAGGGGAGTGCCACGATCACACAGGCGTGGTGGACAAGCCAAATTATTACACACATTCATACAGTCAGGCCTAATAGATAGCGACTACACGTTTTACTCGCCACCATACAATACATATTCAAGAATAGACCTTTTTCTGGTAAACCCCCTGACTGTTCCCAAGGTATCGAAATCCACAGTGGGATCCATAACTTGGTCGGATCACGCAGATGTGTCCCTTACTTTAGACAAGCTGAGTGCGGCGTCCCCCTGGTCATGGAGGCTAAATAGATCCTTACTTCAAGACCCAGCAATAGTTGCGACTATTCGTACGGAACTTAACGAGTATTTTGCCAGGGAGGCAGAGTCAGGGGTGTCGAAAGCCACGGTGTGGGCAGCGCATAAAATGGTCATTAGGGGTATACTGATTAGAGAAGCGACATTGAAGAAACGACGAAAGTCTCAACTGTTATTATTAGAAGCTTTAAGAAAGGCGGAACAACGGCATAAGTCGGACCCTACACCTACTAATTTAACGACGGTGCAGAATGTAAGGAACTCTATTCGTGAAACGCTCCTAGATAACACCACGAGAGCTATAGTGTGGTCAAAACAAACCTTTTATGAAAAGGCTAACAAGATGGATACCTTATTGGCAAGATCCCTTAGACCGAGGCAACTGGGCACACACATTACGAGGATTAAGAATGCAGTAGGAGAATATCAGATGAACCCCACAGAGATAGCCAAAGTGTTTACGGATTATTATACCAAACTCTATAACCACTCAACAGGCGGAGCCATGGACCCACGACAGGAATTGGATGGGATACGAGCGTTCCTCTCTCGGTTACACCTTCCCAAGTTAGACGAGGCGACCTCGGCTGCTTTGGGCAATCTGATCTTGGCTGAAGAAATAGATCCTGCAATTTCCGCCTTAGAAAGTAATAAAGCACCTGGCCCAGATGGCTTCGATGGAAGCTACTATAAAACTTTTCGAGAGGAGCTTCTGCCCCACTTAGAACCCTGGTTCAACGACCTTATGGACGGGGGGACGCGTGATAGAGACATGTCCTTGGCAAATACAGTTTTACTACCTAAGCCGGGCAAAGTCGACTCAATCCCGGAGAATTTTCGCCCAATTTCTTTAATCACGATTCCAAAATTTTAGCAAAAGTGTTAGCAGGCAGATTGAATCCAATCTTTACAGGTCTGATTCACCCAGATCAGGTGGGCTTTATACCGGGTAGACAACTGTTCGAAAATACGAGACGCAATATAGACCTTATAGGGAGACAGGCTACGAAGGGCACTCCGACACTGATACTGTCACTAGATGCCGAAAAGGCATTTGACAGAGTCAAATGGCCCTATCTATTTAAGGTATTAAATCAGTTCGGCATGCCGGCTCAGTTTGTAACGGCTATTCAGGACTTGTACTCAAACGTCAGGGCGCAGATCCAGATTTCAGGAGCGCAAACCATCCCATTCCATCTGAGTAATGGCCCGAGACAGGGATGCCATCTTTCATCTCTGCTGTTCGACTTTTCGCTGGCACCCCTCATGCAAACAATACGTGATGCCCCAGATGTCAGGGGAGTCACCGGGGGGTAAGCAATATGTTATATCGGGTTTCGCTGACGACGTATTGTTGACATTAACGAACCCGAGGGACTCTATGGCGGCTCTGACTGGGATTCTGGCGGAATACAGCAAGGTGGCTAGCTATAAAGTTAACTTGCACAAATCAAGCGCACTCCCCATAGGTATGAGGGAAGATGACGCGGTGTGTGTATATAGGGAGGACTTATCACATACGTATAGCGAAGGACCATATCAAATACTTAGGCATATGGTTGATACGAGAAACCCCCTCCCAACTATATCAGCAAAATTATGTCCCACTATTCGACATCTAATAAACGACACGGAGAAGTAGGTAGATAAACCGATCTTGTGGATCAGAAGAATACATTCAGTGAAAATGAATGTGCTACCCAGGATACTATTTCTATTCCAAGCTCTACCGGTCCAATTGACTAAATCTAACTTGGGACTGCTTCAATAGGCTATAGGCAAGTTTATCTGGCAAAATAAGAAACATAGGATCTCCCGTAACGTACTTGATAGGGGGGCCTTGGCCTTCAAAACCTTCGCTTTTACTACGTGGCGGCTCAAATTGCACTATGGCATTCTCCCCCAGAAGAGAGGAGGTGGGTGGATCTGGAATCCTCCCTGATGGGCCCAGACATACCCCAGTTCCTCATGTGGACCCCTAAACATAGACCAACAGATCAAGTGATATGTCCAGCGATCCGCAACTCCCTTAAGGCTTGGGATGCCACCGCCCTTAAATACGGCCTGACCTCCGACCCGTCGCCCATGAGCCCATTCTTAAGAAACAAAGCATTTCTTCCAAGCATGAATCCCTGGGATTTCAAGGGTATTGAGAACACGGGACTGGAGAGACTGTGCGAACTGTTTGAAAACGGCTCCTTTATAACATTTGAAGAACTGACAAGCAGGGACCCATTAAGACCCTTTGACTACTTCCGGTATCTACAGCTTAGGGGTTATGCCCGAGACCACCGGATCAAAACTGCTGCGTTGACACCGTTAACGTTTTTCAAAAGGATGAACAAGAGGGAACAATTCCCAAGCTGCTTAATTTCATGTTTATATTCTCATCTGAGCACTCACGATAGAATGGGGAGATATCACATATATAGATCAGTGGGAAGCAGATCTCAATGAGGTTCTGGAGGGTATAGAATGGCAGGAAATATGGGAGGCTGCTGCGACATCTTCAGTGTGCGTCTCCTTGCAGGAACAATCATATAAGACCTTATTTCGGTGGTACACCACTCCAGTGACGCTGTACCGAATACATAAAAACCAGACGGACCTGTGTTGGAGAGGCTGCGGACACAAGGGTACGTATATACACATGTGGTGGGAATGCCTGGAGGCACAAACCTACTGGAAATGGATTGTTGTGAGATGTTTTTGACAGGGAGGGGAAACTAGACCCATGGGTGTTTCTATTGTCCAGATCCATGGATGGTTGGACAAGAATGGAACTAAATCTTATACAAAAAAAAAAACCTTGTCGCTAGGAGAGCCCTAGCACAGGTGTGGCTACAGAGGGAGACCCCAACAATGGCGATGGTAAAACAAAAAATAAGATACTTTCCTAATGGACAAGCTGTGGGGGGTCTCCTACCATTATTCTTCACACAAGACTATTTTTTGATGTAAAGATTTTGTTCAGGTATTACTTCCCTCACTCTCCATTTTTTTTCAAGCCAATACTTGCCTAGCTCCCAATTTTTATGATCTGGCTTAAAAATGAAAGCCTCCATCCTTAATTGATTGTATTTTAAAATGCTCATATATAAAGTGCGCCGAGCTCTTCCAATTTCGTGCAACAATTAGTTTGGCTGCAGCCATAAAGTGTACATATATATAAACCTCTTTAAAATGTACGTTTTTTAAATATTGAGCTGTAGTAATCCATTTTCTGGACCTCTGGGGTTCGTTTCCCTATTATTCTTTCTAATCCACAAAAAAACATTGACCATATATGCAGAAAAGAGCCAACCTGTTTATTGCATCTCCAGCATATTGGGGAACTAGAGTTGTACATTTTAGCCATCTTGGATGGTACCAAATACCACCTGTTCAGTACCTTGAATGCTACTTCTATAATATTCAGACAGTGTATATTTTTGTTTGTTTGGGATTACACCTGGCACCACTCCTTTAAAATTTTGATTTTAAAGTCTTTCTCCCATTTTTAGATTTTTAGTGGGAGCTTCTATTTTTATCAAACCACTTCTAGCTTTAGAAGCTACTTGTTTTACCTTCTCATTATTTCGTAATGCACTAAACATTTCTACACCCTCTGAAGGGTTAAAAAAGAACATTTTGTTTTGTAAAATTTTTAATCCTAGAATAATTAAACCATTCTTTTGACGATAATTGAAATTCTTGAATAATTGTCTCAAATGGTTTAATATTATCTTTTAACAGTAATTGGTTGATTTGCTTTATGCCCTTTCGGGTCCACTCTTTAATATCTAAATCCATCACACATAGTGGAATATTAGATAATTTAAAACTTCTTGGTACTTTGTTTCCTACCCCACTTATGTGTTTCAATTTATCCCATTCATACAATAATGAACCCAGAAAGGCATTGGAGGCGCTAGCCATTTTAACCCACTCATCCCTTTTGCCAAACCACATCAGTTGGCTCAAATCTTTTATCCCACTCATTTCCATTTCTAATATATACCAACTCACTTCTTTGGTACTGTGTAGTTGTGTCCTATACAGATGGAAAACCATATTTGAAATATATGTATAATACACATTCGGAAAGCCTATTCCACCATCACGATTTTTCTGCATCAATTGTTTTTTTGATAATTCTGGGCCTTTTCCCTTTCCAAATAAAATTAGAAAAATCTCTCTGTACCAAATCCAACCATGTTTGGGTCATTCTTAAGGGAAATATGCAAAATACATAGGACCATTTAGGCATCAAATAAGCATTGATCAAGTTAATTCTCCCTCACCAAGATAATTCAACATGTCTCAATTTTTTCAGGGAAGCATAAGTGTATCTGAAAGTACTTAAAGAATCACTCTAGGCACCCAGACCACTTCAGCTTAATGAAGTGGTCTGGGTGCCAGGTCCCTCTAGGATTAACCCATGTTTTTATAAACATAGCAGTTTCAGAGAAACTGCTATGTTTATAAATGGGTTAATCCAGCCTCTAAAGCCTCTAGTGGTTGTCTCATTGACAGCCGCTAGAGGCGTTTGCGTGCTTCTCAGTGTGATAATCACAGTGAGAAGACACCAGCGTGCATAGGAAAGCATTATGAATGCGTCCATAGGAAACTATGAGACTGTCTGAATGCGCGCTCAGCTCCTGCCTCGCATGCGCATTCAGCCGAAGAGGCGGCGGAGAGGAGGAGGAGGTAAGAAAAGGTAAGATTTAACCCTTTCCTCGCCATCCAGACCGGCGGAAGGGGGACCCTGAGGGTGGGGGCACCCTCAGGGCACTATAGTGCCAGGAAAACGAGTATGTTTTCCTGGCACTATAGTGGTCCTTTAAAAGATTTGTCTGCATTATGTCCGCTATATTTTTTTGTTATTATGCCCAAATATGGTAGGGTATTTCTAGTCCATTTGAATTTATAACACTCTTCTAAATGTAACCTGCTACTGCTATCTATACTAATGGTCATCGCAATTGATTTGTGCACATTAATTTTATAATTTGATGTTAAACTATATGCTTCCACCTCCTTCATTAGTGCTTCCAGCGATTCGACAGGGTCAGTTAGGGTCAAGATCAAGTCGTCTGCATAAAGGTTCAGCTTATAATCTTTCTGTTTAAAATAGAATCCTTTTATTAATGGGTTATTTCTAATGTTATTTGCCAATATTTCCATTGTCATAATGTACAGGATTGGAGATAACGGGCAACCCTGTCTGGTTCCATTATGTAATGTGAACCAGTCCGCACAGATGTTTGGTCCCACCATTCATGCTGTGGGACCATTATATAATGCCAGGATTGCCCGGTACAGCCATCCCCGAATACCAAATTTCTCATGCATCTTGCTTAAGAATTTCCCAACCCACCCTGTCGAATGCCTTCTCAGCATCCACTGCTAAAAGAAGCATGGGGACTTTATTCTTATTAGCGGCGTCCACTATATCTATTATACGCCTTGTATTGTCAGCAGCTACTCGACCCTAGACAAAGCCTATTTGGTTCTTATTAATAGTGTTATTCAAAATAACTTTGAGCCTATTTGCTAAAATTGTCGAAAAGCTCTTTACATCGGTATTTATCAAGGATATTGGTCTGTAGCTTTCCACTTTTGATGGATCTTTATCCTGCTTTGGTATTGGAAGGATGTTGGCTCTGAGCATTTCTCTAGGAAAACTTCCATTTGTAACAATTAAATGTGTTAGTGAAAAAAGTTTTTTGTTTTTAAATGCAAGCTATTGTGACACCAGTGAGTGAGTGGTGGCACTGGGCAAGTGGGCACAGTATACATTGCGAGCCTGACACACCCGCTTGCAGACAACTAACTGCTATTCAATCTATAACAGTGAAAAAAGTTTTTTTGTTTTTAAATGCAAGCTATTGTGACACCAGTGAGTGAGTGGTGGCACTGGGCACAGTATCCACTGTGAGCCTGACACACCCGCTTTGAGACAACTAACTGCTATTAAATCTATAACAGTGAAAAAAGTTTTTTGTTTTTAAATGCAAGCTATTGTGACACCAGTGAGTGAGTGGTGGCACTGGGCACAGTATCCACTGTGAGCCTGACACAGAAGCTGGCAGGCAGGCAGGCAACTGCAATTACATTACACAGAAAAAAGCAGACTGATGTTCTAGCCCTAAAAAGGGCTTTTTGGGGTGCTGTCCTTACAGCAGAGATCAGATGAGTCCTTCAGGACTGTAGTGGACACTGTATACCCTAACCTAGCTATGCATTTCCCTATCTAATCAACAGCAACTACACTTTCCCTCCTCTCACTAAGCATGCAGCTTGAGAATGAATGTAAAATGGATGCCTTCCAGTAGGTGGGAGGGTCTGCTAGGGAGGGTGTGCTGCTAATTGGCTGGAATGTGTCTGCTGACTGTGAGGTACAGGGTCAAAGTTTACTCAATGATGACGAATAGGGGGCAGATCGAACCGCGCATATGTTCGCCCGCCGTGGCGAACGCGAACATGCTTCACTAATCACCACCTCTCCAATGTTGTTTAACTTTAGCAATTCCCATAAATGTAAGATTACTAGGATCTTTATTGTGGGAGAGAAAATGTGAGGAAGGATACCAAGTGGTTTTAAAAATCTATTTCTATATTGGGGCAGTGTTCTCTAATTCTTGTTTTTCATTCAAAATAAATTCATTTATGTGTCTTGATTTATAAATTATATAATATGTATAGGATTTCAGCTTATTTTGAAAGTCACAGGTCACAAAATACAAGGACTAAAATGAAATTTTAATGTGAAACAATTTTAGAAGTTGGTATGTTTGTCTTGTAAGTTTAGTAGCCACCACAGAAAACAAAATTGCCACACAAAAGTATATATTTATATAAAGTAGACATCGCAGGCTATTTACCTAAGGTTAGTTTGACACTTTTTACGTAACCATTTCATCGCCAATCTCTGCTAAATATTGGAGTAAAATTGTGTGTTTTCTGTATTTTAGCATATACACATATAACAAAGTTTTTGTAATGTGTATTTTGTAAAGCTGTAGTGTGCTATTCCTGCACAGAACCCTATATTGTTTTCAGCTAAATCTGCTGAGTATAACGATAACCCCATTGTATGCCTTTGGCACTTTTCTGTAAAGCTACAATGCCATATAAGAGACAAGACTATTTCAGTTTCTATAGTTAGAATTTTCCTAGATGGATTTCACGGGCCTATGTCTCATTTTACAGTATTCTAGCAGTGTGACTGTTCAAATAACAGCCCTTTCATTTGATAAAGCAGTCACCCCAGGGTATCTTATTTTTTTTTTTGTAAATATGATTTTTATTTTCATTTTTCAAATCAAGGCAGTCCTACTTCGTTTGGACTCGCAGGTCCATACTTAGTGAGGGCATAGAGTAAATCAGCGACATTGTAAGGTTGGGTAGCAGTGCGGGCTCGCAGGCCCCACAGACAATGTGGACTCGCAGGTCCCTCTTGCGATGGTATTTTATACACTGTTTGGAACAAGCAGTTGAGGAACAGACAACTCATGATATACTCAGTTCATCAGCCTCCTAGCTTGAACTGCTAGTTGAAAACCTAAACTTGGACGTGATACCTCCCCGTCCCCATGCGTTCCGTGATAATTGTCCGTCCTCTCCCCTACTTTACTATGGTCATGAACCGTCTGCCTACATGGCGGATGTCCGCCGTGTGTGGTCTCCAAGTCGCCCTAATCCATGTGGTACTAGGCGATCCCTGCCAAATCAAGGGTACCTTTTACTCGTGTGTTAAGGTGGTCAGGATGGGTAGGTCGTGGTGGGGGGGTATCGGGATAGGGGTCTAGGTTCCGTCGGTGTCAGGGGTCCGCAGCTTGGTGTAGCGTTAGTCCAGTCTCTATTGTTGGGCCTGGGTCTCGCCCAGGAAGCCTGGTTGTGTCGACTTCAGTAGCCAGTGCGTCCATATATTGAGATAGGTTTGGTGTGTGTTATTCGCTGTAGCGTGGAGTTCTTCTAAGGACCTCAACTCCTCCATTTGGGTGAACCAAGTTTTCAGTGGCGGAGTGGTCTGCTGTTTCCAGTGTTGTGGTATGGTAGTTTTAGCTATGTTCAGTATGCGGATCGTCAGTGATTTCTTATATATGGTCCTAGGGACCTTAGTGAGGTGTAGAAGCATTTCTGCTGGGCCGAATGGGGGTGGATCGTCTGAGAGTTGCCCTATAATTTTATGTATGGCTTTCCAGAACGGTGCGATTTTGTTGCATTCCCACCATATGTGTAGGAGCATGCCCGTCCCCTCTCCGCATCTCCAGCACACTGGGGGGTATTCTGGGATATGTTCGTGTAATGCCGCGGGGGTGCAGTACCAGTGTGTCAGTAGTTTGTATGCTGTTTCCTGCGTCTTGCTGAAGCTAGAGCAATGGTGCGTGAGATAGCAAATTTTTTCCCAGTCTGCCTTATTAATCGTACGACCCAGTGCTGCCTCCCATTTCCCCATAAAGCTTGGTTGTGCTGTTGGTGTTTGAGTCAGAAGTGATGTGTACATGAGGGAGACTCCGTGGGTTAACGGGTCTGGGTGTAGGCATATGTCTTCGAAGTATGTGGGGGCTCTCGATAAGATGGGCCCCTGTGGAAGAGTTGCAATGTAGCTCTGGAGTTGTTTGTGTTTTAGGCGTATCAGGAGGTTAGAGTCTGCGTCTCCCCTCATGTCCCTGAGTGTCTTGAGGCCATTTGCCGTATAGACGTGGCTAAGTCTGGGGATTGGGTCTTGGATCAGCGCGTGGAAAGCTCTTGGGTCCAGTCCCGGTGGAAAGTTTGGGTTGTGTATGAGTGGGAGAAGGGGCGATGGGTACGGTGCTAGCTCGTGTCTATCCTTTGTGCGGTGCCACTCTTGCAGAGTAGCCTTGATGTATGGGGAGCATTTCCTCCCCTTGCTCCTGATCCCGGGAGGCAGCCATGGCAGGACCGCGACTGGGACACCCGCCTCGACTTCTTCTGCTTGTTTCCATTGCTTCTGCACCCCTTGTTTGGACCATTCTATTATCCGGAGGAAGTGACAGGACCTATAATAGAGAGTGAAGTCCGGCAATGCCAGGCCTCCTCTATCCTTCGGTAGCGTTAATAGGGTATGTCTGAGTCTTGGTCGTTTCCCATTCCAGACGTATCGCCCGAGGGCAGTGCGGAGCGTGACGAAGAATGTGCGGGGGACTGTAGTGGGGATGGTTTGGAAAAGGTACAGGAGGCGGGGGAGAAAATTCATTTTGACTACTTGTATCCTGCCAAGCCATGAGATGTGTGGGTATGCCCATTCCTGCATTTCCGTGCGAAACTTCGTGTGTATAGTGGTGAAGTTTTCCCTAAACATGTCCCCTGCTTTCCGTGTTAACCAGATTCCTAGGTATTTTATTTTGTGCGTGGCCCATTGAAATGTATAGTGTTGGCATAGCGGTGTCGCCCGTCGCGCCGGGATATCAATGTTTAGAATGTATGATTTGGAGAGGTTTATTTTTAAATTAGATATCCTACCGAAGTCCCAAAAGGCTTTCAGGATGTTGGGTAAGGATACTTCCGGGTTTGTCACGTAAAAGAGCATGTCGTCTGCATATGCCGCTACTTTGTGGTGTGTCGTCCCTGCCATCACTCCCGTTATATCTGGATTGTTCCTAATTGCCACTAAGAACGGTTCTAAGGCTAGAACAAAATGCAGTGGGAATAGTGGG